TGTTTTACTTTGTTGAAACTTGTGAACGTTCGAACGACAAAAGTTATCATTTGATCTGTATGAAATTGATATGTATTATTTGTATGAGTAAAACGAAAAAGTCTGTCGAATTTCAACAATTTCTGTAGATTACTTCCAGCCCTTGTTTTAGTTTTTAGAACCTTGTGAACCCTCAAACGACGAAAATTATAATGTCATCTGTATGAAATTGTCTATTAAATGCCCCCTAATAACCTACAAAAGAACAAATATACGACAACTCTTGTCGACCGCTCGGACGATTTAGCTGCTGTGGGCGTATGTTTAGTTGCCTGGCAACCTATATTTCCCCCTGTTGATACAATTCCCATATTTTAAAGATTTTCCCTGCTACTGTCTCAAATTTCTTCCTTTGTCGCCACTTTAATTTATTCTCCGAAACCAGTCGTTGTTGTAGTTCTGCCGTTTTAGATTCATCGTGTAACAGTTTGATTAGAAGATAAAATTGAAGGTTATTTCTCGGGGCCTTGTGGTTGATTCTCCGATGCCATCCCTCGACGTCGTTGTTGGTTCTAATTGGTTGTAAAAATACACACCAATTTTCGACGTCCGTCCCAGGAATCCATCCATGTTCTCTGAATATACGAAAATAATTCTCTAAATAATTCTGTAGTTGCGTATCTTTCTTGTAGTTTTAGGAACGCTGGTGAGATGTGCTCTGCCGGAAGAAAGGGGAGTGCCAAGATCTTCCGTATGGTGCGGTATACAGCGTCCTTTTCCTTATAAGCCCGTTCTAATCCGAGTTCTACCACCTTTCTGTAGACGGCTTGGCACCAGTGGAAGTTACAGCCTCGAATACGGGTATCCGGAAATACGCTCTGGAATCCACTCCACATCCCCCTTTCAAAATCCGCCACAGCACATCTCAACCTGAGGTTATCTGCAGACATTTCACGTATGGCCTCGAACACCTAAAATTACAAAATATCAACATTTTATAATTTCAGTATTTGACTATATGAAGTAAGTATTTGACGTAATATCATTATGCCAAAAATATCAACATTTAATTGTTTAATATCAGTATTTAATATCATTATTTAATATTTCAGTATTCGACTATATGAAGTATTTGACTAGTAAGTAAGTAATTTACCTTTGTATAATCCCGTGTCCGACGTTTAGACATCAAGCAGTACAGCAGAGGTAACTGCTTGATGTCATCCCCTGACCGGACAAACCCGTGAAGTGAAAATAGTTGGGTGAATGGCTTCTTCACTACTTTGAATGTCGCATCCATGTACCATGTCTTCGTCTCTTTTAATAAATCCATCTGTTTGTCAGTCGCGAATATTATGTGCCTATATTTCCCCACTCGGATATCCCGCCTGATAAACCCTTCTGGTATGCTTTCTTCTTGTAACTGAAAAGGAGTAAATTATTGTAACTGAAAATGAATTATTGTAAATTATTGTAACTGAAATTAAATTTTTGTAACTGAAAATGAATTATGGTAAATTATTGTAAATAAAAATGAATAAAAAATAAACATACCACAAACTCCAAATCAACGGGGTCAGCAGGTCTCATTTTTTGTCTGCACCGGTTTGCCGGCCTCAATAAATTATCGAGCTTTTTCAGTCCAGCCAAAGGGGTTGCGTCGCTAATATTAATGCTCAGCCATCACGTCCCCCACAATTGCCGACGCCGATCTAAACAAATCGGCCTTCGCCTTTTGTATTATCTCTGCGTTGACAATTGGAAACGGACGAAAGTAATGTAAATATTGGAAACAAGTGGCTATGATATCGTTTTGTGGGAGTATTTATGCAAATGAAAACGACTAAATTGAAGAAAAAACATATCTGAGTGAATCGACAGAGGTTTGATTGCCTGACATTACGAATTGTTGAAAAAAACGAGCCGAAGCGAGAGCAGGTAAAATCGAGTCTTCAACAGGCATTGCATTCCTGTTCTTTTTTTTATTGTATATTGTCTGGTTGGACATTGTGTATGCATATATATATATATACGGATAGAAGGTCAGACTCCTGTGGTGTTACGAAACGTCGAAATTAAATAACAGAGAAGTAGTTATATCCGTATATACCTTGTGTTGTGTTTTGTTATGAATAGTTAAACCGTGCTTCTAGGTGTCATTTAAAGAATTGATAAGATTCAGTGTTTGACAATTCGCTTGGTGGAAGTCTGACAGAAATGATTCCAGATGGCGTAAATGGGAGGATAAGTAAACCCAATACTTGAAATTTAATTTATAGCGATAAGGAATTTAATCTAAAATTATATATACATTATTTTGCGATACGAACATTAATTTAAAACGATATGTAAATTATTTAAAAGGGAAATGCATTTAGTATGTGTGTTTAAGTGGCAACAAATGCGTCCACGTGTTAATAAAGATATAAATGAGCAGTCAAAATGATATTATGCGTGAAATAGTTTTATATAAGGTCCGCTTCCACCGAAGATATAAACTGCTACAATTTTTCATATACTCTACATACAGTGTCACATCGCAGTTGGGCGTGATCTGATCAGAGAAACTGATTGATTGATATTTAGAAGTAGACGCTCATCATGAAGGTTTATATTGTACCCATCTTGTTTGTTCTAATAGATACGGCATCAGGTAAATATGTTTATGTAAACCAACGCGGATTCGTTACCGTGTCTCGTTTGGCATACCGTAGAGTGTAGTGGGTATTTGTAGTAATATCGTGACACGTATTATCATGCATAAATGCGCACTGCGAACCGAACAGTTGTTGGTACATCTATTACATTTTACTAACTTGATGCCCATGAATATAACCCGTAAACTATATATATAGTATCGATTTATTGTAAAAGTTACATGAAATGAAATGTGGTTTAATGGCATGTCAGCACCAACCGGGATATATATTGCGCAAACATATGGTGATTTTATTGAGACAGGCTAAATTATATCACAGAACAAAATATATGCATAAATAAAAAAATAACACAGTATTAATGTCATATATTAATGTATTGGGTCCACTTCTTTTCCTTATATATATCAATGACATTACTGAAAATATCAATTCTAATATACGTTTATTTGCAGACGATACGTCGTTATTCTCTAGAAAACAATTCCAAACCTCTTTTGAATTAAATTTTAACAATGTAAGAATTAAGGAATCGATATACCACAAACACCTTGGTCTTATTTTACAAAGTAATTGTCAGTGGGATAACCATATTGAATATGTAATATCTAAAGTCAAACGCTCTATTGACTGTCTCCGTGGCTTAAAATATCGTATTTCGCGTAAGTCTTTAGAGATTATTTACAATACATTTATTTTGCCCTTATTCGACTACGCTGACGTGGTTTTGGGACAACTGTAACAAATTTGAGTCATTAAAATTAGAAAATCTCCATCTAGATGCACTGAGAACGATAACAGGTCTTGTTCGAGGCACTTCCCATAATGTAATTTACTATGAATCCGGATGTAACCCACTATCAACAAGACGTTTAAGGCACAGGCTTATCCTTATGTATAAAATGGTTAATAAATTGGTTCCCCCTTTCTTAAGTCTTTTAGTACCACCTAAAATCTCTGAAGTAAATCCTTACCCTGTTCGTAATAACAGTAAATTAAAAAATATATCTTCTAACACTAATTACTATAAAATCTCATTTTTACCTTCAACAGTTGACCTTTGGAACAGCCTTTCTTACAATACGCAAAACGCCTCCACTATTCAAAATTTCAAAATTTAGATAAGTGTGAACGATCATAAAACACCTAAATATTATTACTATGGAGAACGTAAATTTCAGATTATACATTCCAGACTTCGTTATTGTAAAAGTGCTCTAAACTTCCATAGATTTTTAATGCATATTTCACAAAATCCGACATGCAGATGTGGACATACTCAAGAAGACAGCGACCATTATTTTTTGCACTGCCCAAATTATTTGTCTCGGCGTATATCAACATTAAATACCCTCCCATTTAAATCCATACATACAAAAGCGTTCCTATATGGCGATCCCAACGAAAGTAACTTGTACAACGAAATGATTTTTAGTAAAGTTCACAAGTATTTAAGACTAACCAAGCGCTTTGAATAGAATGGCAGGCGACGGCGATTAATGTTGAATAATGGTGACGATGGTGATGACCATGAAGATGATTTATTTATTTATATGTTTATTTATTTATATATTTATTTATTTATTTATAAAAATGTAAGATATAATACCTTTGAAATTTGTACATTTTAGTAATGTTATTGAATTTTACAATTTACATGGAGATGAATTTATATAAGCTATGGCTTGTTTTCAGATCCACAATATGAGTATTGTAAATAATCATGAAATAATAGAAATAAAATATTGTTTAAATCATATATTTCGATATTTTGCATAAAAGAAAGTCCATGTACTCCGTGGTGCAAAGGGTCATTGTTTTATCACAGAAGACGGTTTTTTTTAACGGCAGCGGACGTGGCCAGTTTGGAACGTTTATTCGGAAACAAATAGTAATTCATATTTATACTATCGGGTATTTCTAGAAGGGTGCCCCTCGTAAATGGTGCATAAAATGTCGGGCTTAGCATTTTTTACTCTGGTTGGACTAAATAGACTATTGTTTTGAAGGGTTAATATTTGCCCCAGTTATTATATTTTCATACAAGTCTCCCCATTGGACGTAATATGCCATTCGTGGTCACATCAAACGAATTTACATTGTAACCGGAATTGACGTCACTTTTTAATAGACTGGAAGAAGGTGCTTTGCAAATACCATCTGCTTCAATATAAGGAAATACAGATACGAAAACAAAAAGAATTGCCTAAAATAGATTGGGGGTAGTCTTCTTCCCATTATAGACGGATTGGAAGCGAATCTTTGATGGATAAACTAGTTTTAATCCAAATACATTTACAAATCGCACAGTCTGTACGAGGAATTGGTGTTATTACGATAATTGAAAGTATGTAATGAAAATGATTAAATGGAACTTTCTTCACACTTGTTTCAGGTGACTGGAATGTGGCTCGCAATAAACCAACGACTCTCAGTTCAGTCCAATGGGACGGTATTTCCTCTAGAGCGGTAGATGGCAATGTTAATCCTGACTATAACCAGGGGGAGAGTTGTGCGCACTCTGATGAAACACTGGGACCGGAAAATAAATGGTTGTGTGTTGATCTAGAGGAGAGTTTTTTTATCAGAAACATTAAAATATTTAACAGAAATGGTATGTAAAAATAAACCTTTCTGACGGCCCATTCAAGTTGTTCATAATGAGGAATCCTATAAACATGCAGAATCCTTTATCAGTTTATGCAGGGATATTTAGAAGCCTAATTATCCGCTTTTTTACGCCTTTTGAGATTAAGGTAGCACCTATTGCCCGTGTCACCGAAAACTGTATTTCAATATGAGATTGTTCGGCTAGTCAAACGAAGAATCCCTCAGGATTTGTGAATCTTGTATTTCAAGGAGGTAATACCCTGCAAACGAAATCTTGTAAATGTCATACATATTGATTTTCCATGGAAATAGACTATCGCTCAATTAATAGTTTGGCGAAAGCAAGCGGAATTGCTTTGGTCGCTGAATTTTTTTAAAAAATATTTGTCGTTTCAGTAAAGAGTAACCTTAAATGTCATTATCTAATTTAGGTAACCGTAAATTTATATTTTCATTTCCTTATCAGCTTATGAAAGCCGACTGGATGGGTTTGAGATTAGGTTGAGTTCTAGTGGTGGGTGTGATAGTGCCGGATTTACATCAGCTACGCAATGCTATAAAGACGACAAAACATCACCAGGAAAGCCAGTGTATACCATAGAGAGATGTAATGTAGAAGGTGTACCATCATTTGCTGGCAGATATGTATTTATATCCGTTGGAAAAAATCACAACTCTCAACCTGCAATATTGACCATATGTGAATTACAAATATTTACAGGTAAAAATAATAATCAATTGCTCAATATTGTTAACCATACCTGGACCTAAAGATATCTGTAGGCCATATATTATGGTACATAGACACAACCCAGATTACGTCTAATTTGGCTGATGTTAGGGTTTTAAATATAGAGACATTTGTATGTTGGGAATTCCTATAATTTGGAGTATGAAATTTGAAGGACACATTGCTATCTATTATAAATAAACCATACAACGCGACACTTTAGGTTAATTTTTGTATTAATTTCTGTGCGATTCACTAAATAGAATTAATATGTGATTATCTTTTACCCCTTAGAAAATTGTCCTGTTGGCTATTACGGTACCAACTGTCAAATTAGTTGTCCACAAAATTGCCTCAACAAGGAATGTGAGAAAGTTAGAGGAGGTTGTTCGAAGGGTTGTTTGGATGGTTACTATGGCGATTACTGCGAGTCGTCATGCAACATCCTGTGTATCACCAATTGTAAGGATAATAAGTGTGATTGGAAAACAGGGATATGTAAGGGATGTGAAGATGGTTTCTATGGGGAATCCTGTAATTACCCGTGTTCTACGTGTAAAGATTCATGTCGACAATCAGATGGCATTTGTTTGACTGGTTGCACACCGGGATATTGGGGAATTAATGGTATGTGTCTTCACGAATGCCCCGAGTCCTGTGGTACAAATGGCTGTAAAATGAATAATGTTACCTGTAACGATGAGTTGGCCAAGGCATTAAACTGATAACATTGCCCAGGTAGGAATACTAGATATCGATATTAATTACGCCAATTTAGACTAGAATATACCCGGTTCGAAGAGAAGAATTCTCGGGAACTGACACGTATGTATAGTCGCTGGGGTTGGACGATAATCAACATTGACAGTAGTTGTCATCGAATACGAGTAAACTGAAATGTCGTTTTCGTAGCAAAATCCTCCTCGAATTGAAAATAAAAACCAAAATAAATACGAAATAACACTTTATGTAAGTAGAACATGTCCAGGGTAGAGTATCAGTCTTCGTATTTAATAATAATATTTTTTGTTTTATTTTCAGACAATAAAAAAAAGACCTGATATGAATATCAATTAAATATACTAAGCAATTTCTAATACCCAGCCTTTTAGCAGTTTTCATTCACACTTTTCACCAAATTCCTTTACATCGCAAAGGATAGATTCATTTTGAATATTGCCTTTTCTCTGTGCTACCCATAGTGTATTATATATTGTATTCAAATTATTCTTGTGTATAATATATTTGCTTCAATTTTAAAATTAGTTTAATATTATCTATATATAAACTTTAATCTATCTTGTTTACCTTGAAATTTACTGTGTTATTTATTAAAAACTTTATCTAATTTAGTTAGAAACTTACTCTTATTTCACTGGGAATACAATTTGTAAATTGGATTTGTTATTATTTTTGGGATATCTATCTAGGATATAAAATATAGTATCATCGATGGCGAAAAATGAAATGCATTGCAGTTTACCTTCCAACTGCTTTGCACCGATGGGGTAAATGAAGACAGGTATATGTTATGCAATGTGCTATGAGGGAAATTTCGCCCGGACAGCGGGGTTGCGGCATAATCCTATTTTGAATTCCACCTGTTCAGGGATTGTACATGGGATCTCGGGTTTTCATCTCATTCAAACTATGCCAGGCCCTGTAGAATATACAAAAGGAAATGTGTTTTTATGGCATGCCAGCACCAACCGGGCTATATTGCATCAAACATATGGTGATTATTTCGAGACAGGCTGGGCTATATTGTGCCAAACATATGGTGATTATTTCGAGACCGGCTAAATTATATCACAGAAAGAACATATATGCATAAATAAAAATAGTTCGTCCGTTCCACAATGTTTATACAGACAATATCGAATTTATAAAATATATATATATATATATATATATATATATACAGGTGGGGGGGGGGGCGTTTACGTCCACTCGACACAAACTAGGTCATTTCGGGACTATTACATTGTTCAATTTTATTTCAATAATTCATTTGCGCGTTGGGGTCTCTAGTAGTGGAAGGAAACCGGAGGACACGGAGAAAACTCGCGAGATTGGACAGGTCACCCTATTCCTTGTCACGTATAACCGGGGAATCGAAATCACGCCAGCTGACTCAATGATAGACCTTGTGATACAGCGCTCACGTGCTATCCATTTGCCCCCCCCCCCGTTTTGTAGAATATAAATAGAGCGTACAGACATTATTTTTGAAATATATTCCTTTACTTTAGAGTTAAAATGAAATGAAATGGAGTTTAACGTCCTACTGTTCTGCTCCTAACCTGGGCTAATGAAGACGGGCATACGCCATACAGTGTGCTATGAGGGAAATTTTGCCCGGACAGCGGCACTACGGCCTACTCTTATATCGAATTCCAACTGCCAAGGGATCTTTTACGTGCACGCCAATGTGTACACGGGACCTCGGTTTTTCGTCCCATCCGAACGATTAGACAGCTTTCCTTGTCAGGCCCTCCGTCCTGCATCACTGACAAGGGGAAACCACGCCGGAAAATCTGGATACACTTTCTTGGTCAGTGCAGGGATCGAACACCTTTAGAGTTAAAGGTTATGAGAGTGAGAGAAATGGGGTTTAACGTCCACTCGACATACACTAGGACATTTCGGGACTAACATATGGTTTAATTTTTTATTTCAATAATTCGCTTGCGCGTAGGGGTCTTTAGCAGTGGGAGGAATCCGGAGGACCCGGAGAAAACCCACGAGATTGGACAGGCGACCCAACTCCTTGTCACGTACAGCCGGGGATTCGAAACCACGCCAGCAGTTGACTCAATGACAGGCCATATGATACAGCACGCACGTGCTAACCATTCGGGCATCCCCCCCCCCCTTAAAGGTTATGAGCTGTGGCATTAAAGTGGTTTCCATGTTGTGTGGGCTCTTATCTGTAAATGTCTCGGGTTGATCTTCAAGGCTTATTTTCCATGTGCTGGTTATTTTGTTGCGCCTAAGATCATTATTACTGTGTTGTCTCCATTTAAGTCGCCATGCATCATTGCGTTTTCGTAATTTGATCTAGTAGTAATATTATCGTTCACTAGTCGCCGTTGTCTAGTCTCTAAAGTTTTTGTACCAAACTTTGCTGCGACAATTCTGTGTGTATTGAGCACACTGTAATATGCGATGATGCTGGTGGTATAACGGAACAACACCTGTTGATTCAATGACAGACCTTATGAAACAGCGCTTTTATTCTCAATTTTAATTGTATATATTTAATCATGTATATTGTTTTAAATATTTATATATGTAAAAGATTTGTTATATTTATTTTTAATTATATATTTTCTGTGATATTTGTTTTTATTTACATATATAAATTCAATTATGTGATATTGTTTTAATTTGTCTCGTTAGATTCACCATATGTTTGGCGCAATATAGCCCGGTTGGAGCTGACGTGCCATTAAACAACATTTCATTTCATTTCATTTATGAAACAGCGCGCACATGCTAACCGTTCGCCCCCCCCCCCCCGTAATAATCCAAACAGAGCTAACCAAATATAACTTTTCTAAATCGCTAGTTGTTGAAAGTAATACAGTTTTCTTAAACATTGCTAAATTCTAGCTTTTCGTATAGATGTAATATAACTAAAATGAAATGAAATTCGGTTTAACGTCCCAATCTTCTGCTCCGATTGGGCTAATAAACACGGACGTAATATAACCCTGTCTTTTTTTTATCTGATCTTCCGTGGACGTTGACACGATTTTATTATCATTTTGTAGTTTATATTTCCGTTACTATCTGTTATATTCTGTGATCTTGTTCCATGATAATGAACCTAATTTGTCTCTATTCAGCCACAGTAACACTTCTACTATTCAGAGTTGGTTTGGCTCGCCCAAACTTGGCTGAATTCATAGAACGCCTAAACTCACGAACATAGGTTGCCCAAACGCAGCCTCGATCTGGAGTGCACTAGGTGTATATAAGAAACTGGCGTTCAAGAAGAGGACGCAGACGTCATACTAAGTAGATTGTTCTGCACGTGTTTCACAAGGAGTTAGCAGACCCAACACACAGCTTAGAATAATTCAATTAATTATATGTCAATTTTAACATCTAGAATTTACGGAATCACTTGATTTGTTATTATCATTGAGTTATTAAATATCTTCATCGATTTCCTTCGATATCTCGTCTGCTTCTCTTACTTCAAATGGGGATCACGTGGCTAAGACAATGGCTCGCAAGCCTGGAGGTCGGTTGTTCGATCCCTGCATTGGCCGAGAAAGTTCTACCAGATTTTCCGGCGTGGTGTCACCTTGTCAGTGATGCAGGATGGAGGTCCCGACAAGGACAGTTGTCTAGTCGTTCGGATGGGACGGAAAACCGAGGTCCCGTGTACACATTAGTGTGCACGTAAAAGATCCCTTGGTAATTGGAATTCGATATAAGAGTAGGCCGTAGAGCCGCTGCCCGGGCAAAATTTACCTCATAGCACACTGTATGGCGTGTGCCCGTCTTCATTAGCCCAGGTTAGCAGCAGAACAGTAGGACGTTAAACTTCATTTCTTACTTCAAGTTATTTCGCTTTCCACTTCCACTGTACGCGTGCAATCACATTGTTTCGCCAGCGTGAGTTCTGTTTTGACGTCTTGATCAATATTGGCTGTAATTTCGTCGGCTGACTGCCCCTCTGTCGTGTTTATACTTTCTTCATTGTTCACTATGCACTCACATCTATATTTAAACAAAAATTTATAGGTTTTACAAATCATTTCTACACAGTTTTATTCATTCATTCGTCCCTGTTTATGAGAAATAAAACATTTCTACCACACTTCCGTAACAACACTTCAAATTTTCAATGAAATAAAGAAGGCAGAAATGATGTTGAAGTGAGGAAGAAGCCATGCCAAATATGCAAATTAGGCTTCAACGAAGTGCTTATCGGGTGTTATTCTCACTTCAACTCAGCGCTTATTGAGTGTTTTATTCACTTCAACTCAAGTGCTTATCGAGGTTTTGCTCACTTCAAACCGGTGCTTTTCTCACTTCAACCCAGTGGTTATCAGGTGTTTTTCTCACTTCAACCCAGGGCTTATGGAGTGTTTTTCTCACTTCAAACCGGTGCTTATCGGGTGTTTTTCTCACTTCAACCCAGTGCTTATCAGGTGTTTTTCTCACTTCAACCCAGGGCTTATGGAGTGTTTTTCTCACTTCAAACCGGTGCTTATCGGGTGTTTTTCTCACTTCAACCCAGTGCTTATCAGGTGTTTTTCTCACTTCAACCCAGGGCTTATGGAGTGTTTTTCTCACTTCAAACCGGTGCTTATCGGGTGTTTTTCTCACTTCAACCCAGTGCTTATCGAGTGTTTTTCTCACTTTAACCCAGTGCTTATTGGTTGTTATTATCACTTCTACACAGTAAGGTTGCAGACTTAAACAGTGTGAGGCCTAGCTCACAAACCAGGTGGGGGGGGGGGACTGTATTTGATCCCAGTGTCAGTCATGAAAGTTACTCCACCCTCCCAGGATTTTCTGCACCGTTCGCCTGATCAGTAGATCTAGGGCCTGGCAAAGGATGGTATTTGGTTGTGATAGTGATGGGGCTGAAAAGCCAAAGTTCCATGTAGAAATTGTCGTCCATGTAAAAAAAAGAAACCTGTGTAATTAAAAGAGGACAATTCAGAAAAGCCACATCTGGGCTAAATTTCCCTCATAGCACACTGAATAATCCTAGTTGTGCTGAAAAACCGCAAATATGAAACAAAACACCACTTTGATATTTATTATTTATTTCAAAATATACTATTCAAAAAAAGTAGGGGATATTTGATTTTGGGGTCATAATACTAAAATATGCAAATGACTACGAAAAAAGTCACTATAGAACCTAACAGAAGAAACATTTCCAGTTACATGTGACGCCCAAACGCACCAATAGCTACCGCATGGAATGCAGGTGATGCTTGGGATCGTCATGGGGGTCCAACCCAAGATTTGCACGACTCTGACTTTGAATGTTATAGTCATTGTGGCATTGAATTCCAGGGTGGAAACATCAGTTTAATTGTTTTAGTGACCAGAAAACAAATTTTGATATGCGTCGGCTTACCCAAAATGAAAGTTACGTGCCCTTGGCATGCTACAGATCGGCACAACACAGGCGGTTGTGGCGCGGACGATGAATG